AGAAAGAAAAAGGAACGAAAACCTCCTGGGTAGGAATTAATGAAAACCCAAGACCTGAGAAATTTCAGCATCATGTCAAGTACAGAGACTTGTTTTTAACCCTTCAAAATCTCAATAATCTAAGATGAGATGTGGACAAATAAATCTCTCCTATTGCATTTTGAACATCACTAAGCATTTAGCAATGTTTTTGCTCTCAGTACCTATAAAGACAAGATTACGTGGAATTGGACACATTCAAATACAACGTAAGAAATTTTCTAGTCTACTGGCCTAGAAAGAGCGCCACTTCTCCAACCTTTTCGTGTTCTGAGCTGGGTGGTCAGACAGCATTCAAGCTCAGGTCATCAGGAGCATTTTATTGACTGGAAAAGGGGAATCCAAGCAAGAGCCCTTCAAATGACTTGGTATGCAGTATCAATAAAGAAAGAAAAACAATTGAGACCCTGCTCTCCTCAGCACCATCTGCGGTGGGAAGATGTAAAGTCCTACGCACCAGAGCTTCTTGTCAGCCTTCATTTTCCAGGAAGCCCGTCTCTGGTCCGAAAAGCCTCTTACGGCACCACGCGCAGGGTTCTAGTAGGCCTGGTGACACGGCCAGCCACCCAGGCATGGCAGAGAGGATCCTGAACCATTCCAGTCAGCTCAGCCTCCCAGGGGACCGAGAGCTGGGACTACAATTAATTCCTCATGCTGAAGTCATCTTTCACCTCCCCTCACTTGTTGCCACCACTGCATTATGTCAAGACAGTAATCAGAGACTTTATAAGGAACATTTGTTAGTGCCCAGATGCCAGCTCTGGGCTGATTTTTCTTTTACTTCCCTCTCCTGTTCCTTAGCCTTTCTATTTTCAGGTTCAAAGAAAGGAGTTGCTTTTGAGTTCTATACCCAGAATTAAGTGATACAAGATCCCAGTAGCCGTAGAACTACTTTCATTTGGATCCTTCCTGATTTACAAAGAGCCAATGCTGCATGCCCTGTGCCCAGCTGGTTTCTAAATATTTCACAGTGGGATGTTTTAGTAGAGCCACATAAAATCCTATGAATGTCCATGCGAAGATTCTGGAGTTGACCCATTCCTCCTGATACACAGACACCTGTTGAGCAGGAACAATTCCCTGATAGCATGCCCTCAAAATGAGTTAACTCATGTAAATATTCTGTAGGAGCTACTCCATATTTCTTTACTGTTTAAACATTAGCAATCGACAAGTAGCACAACCACACTCCTGTTCCTGGTTGTTATACTTATCACTACCAATGAAAGAGGATAGCCTGGAAGAAGAATACGTCCCTTTTGTAGAAATTGCGTCAAGCCTGCCTGACCAGATGTCTTTGTTCTCTGATGCCCAGATACAGGGTGTATTTTAATCTTACGGTTTAATATAAATTAAACACTGCCAGATTGCTCTAATGGTGCTTTAAATTTAGTTAAGTGGATCCTTTCAGTAGCACAGGGAAGCAGGAGGAAGAGAAAATAAGGTATCCAAAGGTCAAAAGGTAACCATTCCTAAGAAGTCTTGGAAGACTGGAATATAAAACTAGGTTGGGGGCACCTGGGTGGCTCAGTCAGTCAAGAGTCCAACGCTTGATTTTGGCTCAGGTCATGATCTCAGGGTCATAAGCCTGAGGAGCCCCACCCACATCAGGCTCCGAGCTGGGCATGGAACCTGTGTAAGATTCTCTCTCTCTCCCTCTCCTTCTGCCCCTCCTCCTAGGCTTCCCCCACCCCACCACTCTTGCTCACTTATGCTCTCTCTCAAAAATAAATTAATTAATTAATTTAAAAAACTAGATTGTTCCAAGTAAATGTTTACCCTTTAAAAAAAAAACAGGAAAAATAAAAATAAAACTAGGATGTTGGACTTTCCATTACTACTTTCCAATCTAGGCAATGAAGTATGATGATGACTACTTCAAATACTCAGTATCCTTCCAATTGCCTCATGGAAGCACATTACTATAGTTGTGACAAGGACAGCTTGGACTCAACAGAAATGAGCCTTTTAGCACAGCTAAAAAAAAAAAAAAAAAAAAACAACTTTTCTTTTTAAAAGGATTTTCGACTCCACATCTCACAATAACCACCTTTGTGTGGTTATGGGTACTGACCTATGTAATAGATACTTTAAAAAAAAAAAAAGATGATGACACAAGAAGAGAGATGCTCATTTCTATCCATGCACTTTTCAAAATATCCCCCAATTTTTGTGGGAACAAGAGTGGAAATTGTGCCCAGTTGAGAACAGGGAATATGGTCTTAGTTCTGTCCCATGTTTACTATGTGACCTTAGGAAAAACACAGCATCTTCCTGTGTCTCTTTTTAAATTTGAAATGGAGAGTAAGAATGTCCACCCTATCTAATTTGTGGGCTGTTTAATGGTCACAGTGAAGTCATCTGTATGAGTCAAGACATCATAGTAAAACAACGCCACCCAAATATTTGGTCATTCTCATAGCTAACATTGATTATTGACTTAATTAACATTTTACATACATTCATTCAATCTATACATTAGCCCTGGAAAGTCAGTATTAACACAACCCCCTTTTATAGACCAGTAAACAGAGGTTGGGAGGTTAAATAGTTTGTCTCAAGTTACTGAGGGGAAACTGGATCCCACAAATAGGAAGAATAAACACTTAGAGAACTAAGAAAAAAGAGTAAAAGGTGAGAATTTGGGGAGAAAGAATATATTTTTAAAGCATTATAGTGATCATCAAAAAAGAAAAATCAAGAGTGTTAGAAATTCTTACAGTCATTTTATGGTATACTGTTGTATTTTGAATTGCATATGGGGAGAGGCACCAAATCATTCAGCACTTAGGGCCTTTCAAGGTTTTAATCCAGCCTGTCTTAGATGGCACCAAGGTACCAACTCCAGACAGGTGACTCCAAAGCCCATACTTATAACTGCTCTACTGCATCATGCTCTGTAATAATAATACTTATTGTAACTAAGTAACCATTGCCAATAATTACTAGTAATAAGCATTTTCAGTGGTAAGCATTGCCATTCAAGAAAAGTTTATTCTGTTTTGAAAACATAGTAAGCAACCCATAATCTGGATCTCAAGATACAAAGAGAAAGGCACACAGCGAGAGTCACTGGTTTTCTTACTGTGCCTTTTAAATGATCAGTAAAGAGTCTTCAGCAAACTCATGGGTTCTATATTGGCTCAGGGCAAGGGGTTAACAACAATTTAGAAATCTTTGAAATTCCTAATAGAAACACAACAAACCCTCCAGCAGCATTAGCAGGGCCAGTGATAACATTCATGGAGAGAGAGAGAGTGAGTTTTCTGAGAAACAGATGAAAACAGCTTTTAAGATCTTAGGCTATTTGGATTCCTGTGCCCACCCATCCCCCAGACTTTAAGCACGAAACATTTAAAAATCAGGTCTATTAGTGTCTAGCGAATTTGGATGATGATAAGAATTCATAGTAGCTGCTAACACCTCTGGCTCTCTTCAAAGTCTCAAAGATAAACGCAAAAGGTCATTTTTGTGCCTTAATCTGAGAAGTACTAAGTGTATGACAAGAGACTCCCAGCAAAGGCTGAGCTGGATGTTGTATGGAGGCTGAGATGGTAGATAAATCGGTAGGCAGGGCTTTTCATATCAATAGCTTGGGAGTCTTATATGTATGCTTTTTGTAGTTGCTCCCATAATCCTTAAACCAGGCACAGGAAGACTCTGGTTATTCGGCGGGGTGGGGGGAAGGACAGTAGCACAATTACCTCTGATTGGCTTTTAAAGAAAATTAATGCTGAATTAGGCATGAAAATTACAGCCTTCGAGTCATTCAAAATTCTTGGGCGACAAATAAGCAAATTTATTTTATGTATTTCTCCCAAGTGTGATGATTATTAGCTAAACAGCTCTTAAAAAATTTCTGAAAATGTGCTTTGGGCTTCCTTATCTCTGTGCTCGCTTCACTATTAAGGAAGTGAGAGGACAGCAGTAAGAGAATTATGGGGAGTTTGAAGCGTTGGAGAGAGAGAGAGAGAGAGAGGGGGTGAAACAGCATCATGCCCACATTAGTGAAAAGTTCAATACTCTGAACTAGTCTCTTGCATCCACCAAGTGATAATGCAACTGTGGAATAAAGGCCCTTAGCCAAAGTATTTTCCCTTCCATTCTTGGAACTTTTTTGATCAGGGTTCAGGGCTCTTTTGCTAGGAGAAGTGAGAGATGAGAGGGAAAGCTAAAGAATGATTTGAATGACCTCTTTAAAATAAGGCAACCTTTCCTCCCAGTACCCTTGATTTGGCCATCTGGCTCTGGGAGTTTGCTGGCAAATGCTCCTTGACCATAAAATTTAAACAGATGATTAACCCCTCTCCCTCCCACACCAGCATGCTTGTTATTAAAATGCCTACTAGGACCGATCTCTGAATATCAAGGCAGGCCTACTGTAAATGAAAGAAAAAATGGGCAAAGTCAACCAAGTGAATGAAACCCCACCCTTCGTTTCTCTCTCATCATTATCCTGACTTGATGTTCATCACTTTAAGTTTAGTAAAGTTCCTTTTACAGTCTTTCTGAAATCTCTGACCATCTGTACCTTCAACCTTACCTGCCTAAATGGCACCACAGAGTCCAGATAACAAAGGGATTATTCTGTGATTATCGATGATAGCTCACGATGGAGAATGCACCCCTTCCCTCCACGGGTCATCATTTGCAATGCCCTGGAAAGCCTACAGCCATTGTCTTTAGTATGAGCCAGTCAGGCAGTATTGGTCAGGTTGACAAAAAGTGTTCAGTGCATAGTTAGTAAGTCTCCAGAAGCTCCCTATGCTGAACCAAGCCCTAACATGATAATTCATCCTGTCCTACAAAAAAAAAAAAAAAAAAAAAAAAAAAAATACATGAATGACGTGCTTAGTATTCAGTGTTTTATGATTTGGTGACAGTCATGAAAAAGTTGCCACTTAGGAGTAAGAATGGGAGAGCCGAAGAGAGTCTGTGGTCACTGAGAGTACAACACGTACCTGTGGGATAATGCTCATTCACTGGCCAGTTGTCCACCTGGAGTGTGGCATTGCCGCCGTTCCTGGTGAAGCGCACCACATGATATTTACCATCATTGACGGGAGTTCTCTCCTCCTTGATAGAGATGTCAACTGTGCCAATATTGAAGACAACTCCGATTTTCCCCTGTTCCTGTGATAAAGAAACACAAAAGGCATAGTTAGCACCAACCACAAGGTGTTCTCCCTTTAAAGTGGTCCTCCAACTAGCAATAAATCTGTAGGTACCCAGAGGGAGCTGGCAGCATGAAGGTAACAACAGTATCATACATTTCTCCATGGGCTTTCATCCTGAACATAGAAACCAATGGCATAAAGCCACCCAGACTGCTCTCACGGGCTGCCCTGCACAGCTTACATCATTTGCTTGCTCTCCACAGATAGCAAAGCTGGAAACCACAGAACTACCTAAGAGCTGTGTAGTGACCCTGCAAAGTGCATTTCTGTGAGAGCAAGGAGGCCTATTTTCTAGGAGAGGTAATTAGACCCTGGACCCTAGATCGCCTCACAGTTTAGATTTAGGATTAAAGAGGAAATAATAAGCATACTTGCACATTTTGGGGGGGGATCAAGGCCAAGGGAAGGGGTACAATGAATGGTGAGGAGGCAATGGCAGAGGGGCTAGCATCATAGATCAACACCCAAGGATACACTGTGCAAGTCTCAAACCCATAGAAAACATATCCTCAGTAGAGGTCAGTGAAACTGAGCTGGGGTTTTCAGAGTCAGAGGGCTGCTACTCTTCCCACACGTGTAGCTCTATTCCTAAGGCTCATCCAAAGAGGGCCGTAATATTCAGTGCTAAAGCTCTATGCTACATAGCACACGAGAACCCAATGGCCCAAAAAGAGACTTCTGGGAGGGAAAATACAATGAATGCCAGAAGAGAAATACTATGGCAATGAAGGTGATGATTATGGTGAAGGTAGAGGCAATGGCATCATCTGCTTCCTGAAAGTGCCCAGAAATACTGAAACATAAATGCTATTAAAACTCTTACTCTTCTCCTCTAGTCATTGGTTATGACTAAGAGTTAGAATTAGTATTCACAAGGAGATACAACACAAAAGTAACCTTCCTGGTCAGATATAATCAGTCTCTGCCAACTTCCTAGGAAGGTGTCACAGCATGTAGGACGTCAGGAGGGATGGGCAAGGAGAGGAGGAGACATCTTTCTCCATTTTTCTAGTTGTCTGACTTCTTGGCTAAGCAACAGGTTGGACGTTCAAGGACAATAAAATTTAGTGGCAACTCTGCTGTTCTATTTGTCCACATAGTCTCTGTTACCCTCTCTGTTCTCATTCAAGAAGTAGGAGGAGAATAAAAAGGAGGAGGGGGAGAAGGGGAAGAAAAAGAAAGATACGAAGAAAGAAGCCCAGGAGCCGTATAAACTAAGTGTAGCAAAGATTGCATGGTTGGGTTCATTCGTTTATAAATATTCATTCAATACATAAATATGATATTTATGAAGCACTGATTGTGCTTAAAGTCAGTGAATTAAGACTTCTGGTGAGGTTTTGGGCACTGGTTTCCAGATAGTTTGGTACACTTCACTTCTTTTTTCAAAAGACAGGCTTTCTTTATCTTGCCAATTTTCCTTTAGTATGCGAACACATCTTATTCCCAATAAAAGAACGGACAAGTACCCAGGAGTCTTGATTTTAGAAGGTAGGCATCTAAGCGAAGAAAGGCTGCTTTCGGCATGCAGGAATGCTCTGATACGGGGTGGACACTGCTGTCTCCTTTGTGCCCGGAGAGCACAGAGTGCAATGTAAAATGATGTCTGCAATCCCCATGTTCTGTTCTCTGCGAAAAGAAATGCAGGTGCCTCCCCAAATGGGGACTAAATGTACTTATGATTTTGTAAATCCCTGTTTATTGTGACACTCTGTTCTCAGGGTTTTTTTTTCTTTCCTCACCCCTACATCTCCAGCCCTAAACAAAGCACTTAGCATTAAAATGGAGAAATGAAACTGATGATCGGTTCTTTTGCATCTTTCATGCCCATAGTTAATAATGTGATGATCCATTTTATTCTTTCTCCTTAATTCTCTAGGAATTCAGAAATGGTATTATGATTTTCCTGCTTCCCCCTACTTAAAGCGTTGGCATTCATGTCTAAGGGTGTGTGTGTGTGTGTGTGTGTGTGTGTGTGTGTGTGTGTGAGCACCTATTCATCCTTAGGCCTAGATAAGCAAGGCTATAGTAACCTGTGTCATAACTGGTTTAGCAGAATGAGGGAACCGGAGGAGTTAAGAAACCATGACTGCAGACACCATTACTCCTCTGCCCACCCCGCAGATGTGGGCTGCTTATTGCACCACTATTCTTCAATGAGAAACCACCATATAAATCCTGGACGCACAGAAAGGGCTGCTGGCAATTCAATTCACCTCTGAGTCACTAATTAATCATGGATGGAGAACAGTTTTAGGTAGAGAGAGGGGACCTTTAAACCAGAAGTAGCATCGGGCGGTTCTGGCTCAGTGAGTTGGCTGATCAGTGAGATATATTCTTGGGCAGATTTTCTGCAAGATCCATAATAGATTCAGGGAAAGAAAAGATTTAATCTCTGCCAGAATAAATATTTGGTCCTTATCAGAGGCGCCACATATTTGGCACTGCAATCACTGCTTCAGAGACATCTTCTTAATCCTGCTAGCACTACGGCCAATGTCAGTGGAGACCCCTACCCAGATGCCGCATTGTGTTTCCCCACAGCGGGATATGTGGCTGTGCTAGACCTCAGATGCTGTCTCTTTACTTGCGGTAATAAGATTTCATTACTGCAACCTCCTTGTCATTTGTCATGGGACCACAGTGGCATTATAATGTGTGGCTAACTGCTTTGTCTCAGTTCATTATAAGTCTTACAGCAAGTACCCATAGACTTGCCTAGGCTTGAATCCCTCATGCTCAGCTGCCATGAAAATAAACTCGGCTGGCTCAGGTGTCCAGTGAGGAGACGATTTGAGGGATAAAAAGCACTGGCTTTGGAAACAGCCCTGACTGACCTTTGGGCAAGTCACTTAACTTTTCTGAACCCTTTCTTAATAATATATGATGGGGCAGGATACCAGCTCCCCAGACTTCCTAGGGCCGTTATAAGGCTAAAATGATGCGATTATAATGATTCGTATGATAGCACTTTATACTACTAACAAATAAAATATTATTCAAGTAAAAGGGATAAATGGAGATCAGGAGAAGGAACAATCCAAACATTTGACCATATGTCACACCCTGTGAGCACTGGAGAAGTTAACTGGTTCAATAGGATAAACACGGTTTTAGCATGGCATGGTTCAAATAATACTTCTCTCTGGCTCTGAAGGCTCGATGACCTTGGGCAGGTTATTCAACTTCTGATTTCCCTACTATAAAGGGATCTGTGGAGGAAGAGAAAGGCGAATTGCTACCTTTGAAGCTTGTTGCGAGGATTTTAGGAGAATACATATGTGTGAAACTCCCACAGCACGTGGCTCTGCTTACTTTGGGACTAAAATAAATGTCAGTCATCTTTTCGCTTTCTTTCCCCTCATTAGTATAGTTAAAAGTGGTGGTGGGAGCTAAGGGCTGGCTGGTTTGGCAATAGTGTCATCAAGAAATATTGTAAAAATAAATGTCAATTTTAGCAAACAGAACATTAAAAAAACAACATTTGCACGGCTGAGTTCCTGTCACAATTTGGTAGTTGCTCTCTCTTCACATTCCTCGGTATCTTTTAGAAGCCTTTCCAAGGCAAGCAAAGTATAGCTGCAAAAACAGCATGACTATAAATTTTAATAACTCCACACCCATCACCACTAAAGTTGCTACCAAAGGCAATCACTTCCATCTATGTTCTTCCTTGATATTAAAAACACAGACAAGTGGTAAATCAGAAGACATTACCAAAGAGTCCTCAAGTGCAATAAAAAAAAGTCTGTTAAAAAAAAAACAACACAAAAAAACAAGTCTGAACGGCACAAAAAAACAGCTGTCTGTAAATAGCCAGTAAATCCATTCTTCATCAATAATGACTATTTACGAGCCCACCTGGCTCCTCAAATTAGTCCGGCTCCAGCTTTCTGACCTTCCATCAGCCACATTACAGTTATTGCTGTGGAGGTGACCCATGAGATACTACCAACACCAGGGTCAGATTTCAGAAGCAGAGATGCACAAGGGCAAGAAAAATCCTCAGGAATAAAGACCTCCCTGCAGGCAATCTCTTCATTCATTCCACGGTGCCCCCGGGGAAGGCAAAATGCACCATCCACTATTTTAGACAATTGCAGCTGACAGAAACAGAACTGGGACTCTCAAAAGTATGCCCAGGAGACGTGCAAAGGAAGCAGTTCTCAATATCTTGACTTCTAGGCTTCCCACAGAATCTGGGAGTTCAGTGCTAGGCAATAATACAGGAAGAACAACAGGTATGTGATCCTTCTTGGGGCCAGACACTGCCAGGTCTGGCATACCTGTTCCAAAGTCTGGGTCACGATAAATAAAACAATCAGTGGCAGCGTTTACTACATTTTTCTAGTTTCCCCCCATTATCAGCTCATAGTGAAAGAGGATTTCTTCGGTCTCCTTGTGATGTGTAGGGCCAAGAGACCAGTGCTGACCAATGAATTAGTTGTCACTCCTGAGCCATGCATTAGACTGCTGGTGTGAGACCAACCAGAGTTCTCCCACTGGCTCTCAACCACTGTATCCAGCAAATTCCTGGCAGTGGCCTCTTTGTCAGCCTGGGTCATTAAGTGAGAATGGCAACAAGCCAACTCGTGATGGACATGGCAAATGAGAAACAAAGCTTGATTGTTTTATGCCACCAAATATTGAAGCTGCTTGTTATGCAGTGTAATACAAAGAGTACCTTGAAGAGCAGAGTAGGTTGCTTGGCAGGTACTTTTTAATAAAACAATTTTTGAATTCTTAAAATTACCCTCCAGATTTTGTAGACGAAAAAAGATGGAGATTCAGAGAAGTGGGAATTCACACAACTAATAGAAGATGCATTTAAGATTAGAATTCAGGTCTGCCTGGCTTTAAAACCCATGGATTTTCCACCATATTATGTTTCAGTCACATTTATTACAAGTTGCAATTGAGTTATTTATATAAGTCACTGTATACGTCACATATTAT